GCAGTATGTGGACCGAGAACTACCAGAAGTACAGGCAGGATTTCGAAGAGGGAGAGGAACTAGAGATCAAATTGCCAACATACGCTGAATCATGGAGAAAGCTAGGGAGTTTCAGAAAAGCATCTACTTCTGCTCCATTGACTATGCTAAAGCCTTTGATTGTGTGGATCACAACAAATTGTGGCAAGTTCTTAAAGAGATGGGAGTACCAGACCATCTTATTTGTTTCTTGAGAAACCTATATGTGGGTCAAGAAGCAACAGGTAGAACTGGGCACGGAACTACTGATTGGTTCAAAATTGAGAAAGGAGTTCAGCAAGGCTGTATACTGCCGCCCTGCCTATTTAACTTATATGAAGAGCACATCATGAGAAAGGCGGGCCTAGATGAATCACCAGTCGGAATTAAAATTGCTGGGAGAAATATCAACAGCCTCAGATATGCAGATGATACTACTCTCATGGCAGAAAGTGAAGAGGAACTAAAGAGCCTCTTGATGTGGGTGAAGGAGGAGAGCGCAAAAGTTGGCTTGAAACTCAACATTAAGAAAACTAAGATCATGGTATCCGGTCCTCTCACTTCCTGGCAAATAGATGGGGAAGAAGTGAAGGAAGTGACAGATTTTATTTTCCTGGGCTCCAAGATCACTGCAGATGGGGACCGCAGCCAAGAAATTAAAAGACGCATGCTCCTGGGGAGGAAAGCTATGGCAAATCTAGATAGCATACTAAAAAGCAGAGACATCACCCTGCCAACAAAAGTGCGTATAGTCAAGGCTATGCTTTCCCCAGTTGCAATGCATGGCTATGAAAGTTGGACCATAAGGAAGGCTGAGCGCCGAAGAATTGAGGCCTTCGAATTGTGGTGCTGGAGGAGACTCCTGCGAGTCCCTTGGACAGCAAGGCGATCAACCTGGTCAGTGCTAGAGATCAACCCTGACTGCTCTTTAGAAGGCCAGATCCTGAAGATGAAGCTCAAATATTTTGGCCACCTAATGAGAAGGAAGGACTCCCTGGAGAAGAGTCTAATGCTGGGAACAATTGACGGCAAAAGAAGGAGGGGACAGCAGAGGATGAGTTGGCTAGATGGAGTCACTGGGGCAGTAGGCGTGAGCTTAGGTGGACTCCAGGGGATGGTGGAGGACAGGAAGGCCTGGAGGAATGTTGTCCATGGGGTCGCAATGGGTCAGACACGACTTCGCGACTAACAACAACAACATAGCCAGGTTAGAGTCTGTGCAGCATAGGGCCACAAGGTTGGTGGCCGATTTGCAGGGGATGCTGTATGAGCCAAGACTGAGGGAACTGGGTCTTTTCAGCCTGGAGGAGAGGAGATTGAGGGGATCTGTTGGTGACTTATGGAATTCCACAGGAGGTGGTTGAGGCCCCATTGGTGAGAGTGTTCAAGGATAGGCTGGACATGCACATGGTAGGCATGTCATGAGAGAAGCTGGCTTGAGTCAGGGGTCAGAAGACCCCTTCTGACTCGCTTTGTTTCTATGTTTCTATTTTACAGCTAGCAACCGTGTGCATATTAGTATTAGTACAAACATGGGGCCATCTTGTCAATTTCCATGTCTGCTATTAGCTGCACTTTGTTGCCTTTATCAAATGAAATTTACAGGACAATTGACAGCACGAGACAACAACAACAACAACAACAACAACAACAGACAGCCCTAATGTGGTGGGAGGATGTTGCGATGCTTTCACTGACCTGGTCTCCTAGCCTTGGGTCTCCCACTCAATGTGGATGGTCACAGTTGAAACACCCGACTAAGATGTGTCAACCCTCTTCAGGATTAAGGATTACATCAGCAGAAGAGAATGGGTGTATCTACTGGTGATGGTGGAAGAGGAACTCCAGATGGGCCTCTGCTAGGCAGCAGGAGAAGCTGAAGGTGACACTGGCAAGAGATCTTTCACAGACAATGGCAGTGAGGTTCAAGCTAACTCTGGTTAGCCCTGCTCAGAAGAAGGCAATGATAAAACACTTCTGAATCCTCTCACCTTGAAAACCCTACGATGAAACTATCCAAAATGAACAGGTGAAAGTGCCAGAAGATGAGACTCCCAGATTGGAAGGCGCTCAGCCTGCAACTGAGAAAGGCCAAAGGACAACTATGAATAGCTCTGTCTGAAATGACACACCCAGAGCGAGGCTGAAAGGAAGTCTAGTGGCCAAGGTGTACGCAGGCAAAAGGAAAGTCCAGTTCTGCACAACACAAGTAATTGGCACACGGAACATGAGAAGTATGCCTCAAGGCAATCTGGAAACCACAAAGCAAGAAGCGGAATAGTTAAAGATTGCAGTACTTCACTTGCGCAAACTAAAGTGGGTTGGGATGGGACATTTTCAGTCACTCAGACACAGAGGGTTTACTCTAGAATGTCAAACTCAGGTGAAACAGAATGGGTCCGATACTGAAGCAAGGTGTGGCAAAGGCAGTGAGGGGCTGTTGTGCAAAGCCCAACAAAATCTAACACAACTATCATCCAGGTCTGCACTACAACAACAGATGCTGAAGAAGAAATACCGAACACTTACAAAACATCTAAGAGGAAATTGGTACCATATCAAAATAACATGCTGATAGTCATAGGTGACTGGGAAGCAAATTAGGAAAGAAGGCAGAATTTGTCGTGGGGTCAGGAACAAAGCAGAACAAAGCAGGGTCAGAACAACTCGCAGGATTCTGTGAAGCCAACCGTCTGCTCATTGGAAACACAGATTTCCAGCAGCTAGTCAGACAACGGTATATATGGCCATCACCAGATGAAAATAAAATCATTGGATGCAGGAGATGGAGAAGCAGTATTCTTATTGCAAAAACAAGACCAGCTGCAGATTGTGGTAGCAACCATGAACGATTGTTATAAAAAGTCAGAGTAAAATTGAAAAAGATTGCTAACTGACGCACAGTGCCAAAACGATATTTATACACATTTCTGAGGTGTTTAAGATCCGCAGAAAGAACAGATTTGCATTACTGGTCTCAGTTGTCCATTAACCAAAAGAGTTGCAGGCTGAAAATGGAAGAATGCAAAAAGACATTTTCTGTAGCAAAAAAGAAAAAGCCTAGATGGATGGCTGAAGAAACGTTCCCAGGTGCTAAGGACAGGAGAAAAGTAAAAGCTAAAGCTGTCAGAAATAGGATCAGAATCCTGCATGCAATTTTTCAGTCACTATCACATAGAGACAAAAAGAACTATTAGAGTGACCAGTGCAAATAGAAGAAAACAACAAAATTGGAAAACAAGAATCCTCTTCTAGAAGACCCAAGAAATCAAAGGGAAATTCAAACCTAAGCTAGGAATGTTAGAAGACAAACAGGGTGAAACACTCTCTGAGCAGAAGAAAATAAACTGAAGGTGAAAATAATATACAGAAGAACTGTGCAAAAGAGAGAAATGGATAACAAACTCCTTCAAAGAGGAATCATCTGAGGAAGAGCCTGCAAGATTACCAAGTGGAGTGGAAGCTGCTCTGAAAGCAGAGCTATTCCAACCCAACTATTTCTGCCCCTGCATTTTCCTCCTTCCTCTACCTCTTTTCTGCATTAGGAGGATTTAGAAACAAATGAAACAAAAGCAAACCAAAAGAAATCAGGAACAGGAATCTTTGGCTCTCTAAATATTATTGGACTCCAGCTCCCATCAGCCAGCGTGGCCAGCCATCAGAGATGATGAGAGCTGTGATGCTCCAGATGTCCCAAAACTGCAAGTGCCCCTCCTGTTTGACCCACTGGGGTGCTATAAAAGGTACTTTTGTTCCCACCATCCGATGTGGTGCAGCCGGTCCTGCCACCTCAGAAGTGTACAGTCTCACTGCTGTAGAGTGGATCTGCATGAAGGACGAACAGACCCAAAGCAGATGCCTAGATGGGACCCTGGAGCAGACCTCTGTCCCCGTGCCACGATCCAGGAGAGAAAGCTGCCCGTTGGCAGCATCTGAGAAAACACGCCTGCCTTAAAAGGTGGCACATTGAAGGGCTCCATTTGAGTGGGCTTAGCCAGCTGCGGAAGCTGTTCTGAATGCCAGAGGGGAATCCTTGACTAGCACCATCATCACCACGATCCATCATCATCATCATCGTAGTCACATAATAGTTAATGACCACAGCTGACGAGCACAATTCCCTTCTTACTTTGGAGTGCAGCATGGAGGAGACCTGGGCTCTCCAAATTTTGTAGGACTTCAAATCCACTCACCTTTGGCCTTCGGCCATGCCAGCTGAGGCTGATGGAAGTTGGAGTCCAGTAACATGTGGAGGGCGACAGCTTCCCCACCCCCTGTAGCTGTGCCTCTGGCTCACTCTAACCACCCATGGGATGGATTGGACCAGGTTACAGAAATGCACAAGAAGGGACAAGCTGGGTCAAGCCAAGGGCTCACCCAGTCCAGCATTCTGTTCACGCAGTGGTCAACCAGTTGCCCATGGGAGACCCACAAACAAGACAGGAGGGCAACCCCCCTCCTGCCCATTTCCCAGGTAAGTGGGGTGCAGGCATGTTACCTTCTCCCCTATGAGTTTTAGGCCAAAACTTGGGGTGTAGGTTACAGTCCTGTTAGGTATGTCAAACTTGGATATATGATACGCAGAACTGTGCAACGGCAAAGCTTTGCCTATAATGCTCAAGGCTACATAAGGGATGAGTTAGGTCCTATTGATAGAGAAGGCTCACCCTAGCCTTTTCCCGACACATGCTCTTTTGTGCATGCAAAGGTTCCCCCCCCCTCCAGGGGAAATAGTCGGACCTACAAGTGTCACCCGCCACTCCCTCCCATAGCCTAAAGTCATGAATTCCAGGGGAAATTTTGGCAAGTGATTCTGCCTGAACTTGTGAACAGCCCTCTTACAGCTTCTGTAGAGGCCAGTCAGGTCCGTGAGCGCAGGATGTGTCACCATGGAGCTCAGGAAGCAGTGCCCTCTAAGATTTGCATCCCTTCCTGGGTATCTTACTATGTTTTCCCCTCCTCTAACAAACAGAGAAACATACTATTATATAAATATTTTAATATTACAATTTGCATAAAAATGCCAAGGAACTGTTATTACATGATGAAACCTTTACGGTTAATAAATAGAATACGAGGTAGCAAAAAAACCCCTGTCGTGTCTAAGGATATGTGTCTGGTAATCCCTAGTGATTATTGCAAAGCCCCTAGACCACTGGAAAGTGCTACAGGTAAGAGTAACAATAAATAGAAATGTCACATTCAGCTGCATTGTGCAGGTGGGCAGCAGGTGAACATACTGATCAACACCCCTGTCCCCCTAACCCACAGCAGCAGACTTTGTACTTAAAAATCTCAAGGCACCCACAAACCAGATGGGGAAGTCCTCCTAGGAGACCCTCAAGAGCAAATCATCCTGCTTTTAGCGCCTTTGGCAATGAAATGTCCTTTAAAAAAAAAAAAACAACTGAAAAGCTGGAACAAGGCAGGCCAAGTTCGGCAGCTGGTAGATATTTTTCAACAGATGGCATCCAGGATATTGTATCATGCTTGTGACCATTGAACGACCTTATCTGGCAATCCATTATGTTTTCATATTTTTAACATTTCCCAAAAAGGTGTCCATTAAGGAACAAACACACGAGGACTAGAAGTGCCCATATAAGGTTTAGAAGATCTTGGAAATTCCTCCGAAGTATGAATCAGGGGCTGCCGTTCCATGATTCACAGCATGAATAATATGCAGAATTGTGGTGAACATTGTTGGTGGCAGAAGTGATGAGAGCACTGGAGGGTCCTTCCTTGGGAGAGTTAAGGGAGCTTTGAGAGAAAAGACAAAGTCGGTAGAGGAGCAGAAAGCATCCATCGGCTTCTCCCCAGTTGACTTCCAGTCTCAAAGGTCTATCCCTGCCAAATCCACGACCACCTTGAGGTACAGGGTGTCATCTTTGAGGTAGCCCGGAATCTCAACATGGCTCGCAAAAAGGGGGCTCCCACTGGCCACGTTGAGCCTTTCCTGAGGCTGGTGGAAGGAGGCACTGTGCGGATCTGGAAGGAAGGTCTCCGTCACAGGCGATCTCTTTCGTGTGGGGTCCAGCAGAGTGAAGGTTACCTTTTGCCGGAAGGGCCAGGGCAGGACGTCATCATAGGGCCCCTTGGCCAAGGCAAGGAAGACCGAAAGGTGGCCACCCTTGCCGATGCCATCTCCATCAGGGTACAGCCGGACACAGAGGTGGTACCCAAAAGGGTGGGTGGCAAATGCTGGAGAGTAGATGGAACGCCTCTTTCCGGCCTTGGCATCCCTCAGGAGCTTGGAGAAGTTCTCCACTTTCCACACCAATATCCCATCTGTGCTGATCAGCTCAGGTGCTGTTGGCTCGGACTCCTTGATCCCATGGGGGCTGTCACGGGTCTCCCGATAAATCCTCAGCCACCTCTCGTACTGGGAGCAGCAGTGCTGAAGGGACTTCACCGTAGCCACCTGGCTGCTCAGCTGTTGGCGAAGGGAAGCCACCATCAGCTCCAGGGCCTCCACACGCATCTGGACCACCTCCAGATTCACAGCAGGATCATCCTAGAAGGAGAGTGATTGGAAGGAAGATTCACATCTGGGGCTCTGAGAAGATGGCACAAAGCCCACGAAGAATGCCACATCTCTTCTGTGGTGCCAGAGGCATCACTACTAAGTCTGCAAGTCGCTCCCGGCCATTTAGGGTATGGAAGTTTAACATTGCTCCTGAAAAAGGGACTTGTGCTCCAAAGTATTTGGGAAATCAATAATAAAATCAAATCACTAGAACTGTTGTGAATAAGGGCACGATCCTAGGCATGTTTAGACAGAGTATTAGACAGAAGCAAGCATGCTAGACAGGATGGCTGGCTGGGGAATGCGAAGAGCTGTTCCCAGACTTTTTTCCGTCTAAACATGCACAGGATCACACCTTTGGTCACTTTTCCCCCTTTTGTTGCATTTTGTAGGGATCACCTCTGCAAGTATGTTGGTACTAGGAATCAAGTGCTTAGCTGAGCCTGGCTTATAGGACCCACTTTAGTCTTGACTTGATGCCCAGGGTCAACAAACTGAAGCAAAGTGCAAATCCCCTCCAATCAAATACTGGGGGAAACCTGCATTATACTGGTGCAAATCTACATCTGACTGCACACTGTAAAAATGGCCAGCAGAGCAGCTGTGAAAAGACCTGGATAAAGGCTGTCCATTAGTATTCCCATTTTACAGGTAAGGACCACTGAGGCTGAAAGCCAATGGGAAGTAAAATGGCAACAGTCTTCTTCATCTTCATTTACACACAGCAGTGCAACCATCCTCTAAAATCCCTTGACTAGCAAAGATTTTTTACTACCACCACCACTACTATCATTAGCTTCATGTATTCATACATAATACTTAGTATACTATAATTGCTAGTTTAACAACGCAAAGAAATACTGTGACTGTATCACTGCATTTTTGCTTTCTGTTTTTAAACTACTGAATCAGAAACCTTTGCCGGACTACAAGTCACCCCAAAATCCATGAGTGGCTCTTGTTCTGCACAGGCTCACCCTGCAGGGACCAGCTGTTGCCTTAGCCTCAGGTGGTGGATGGTAATCCAGCAGCGTCTTCCATCTCTACCCCTGTTCCCCTCTATCTCCACCACATTATTCTGTATAGCCTGGAGTGCCTGATCCTGCCGCATCTTGGAACCTGAGCAGGGTCAGGCCTAGTTGAAATCTGGATGGGTGACTTAATGTTGCTGGCAGCCCAGAGAGCTTTGGCTATGGGTGTTATAGAAATGTAATTAATTTCTCAAGTAGTAATTGTTGAGAAATTCCCATCACACTCAGCCTGTACAATATTCTTCTGGCACCAGCCCACCAACCCTTCACAGATCTCCCTCATTCTCCCGCACTGAGCAAGACTGGCTCTCTCTCAAGCCCCAGGCTGGCCTCGCCAGCTCCTCCATCACACCCTGGCTCATTCTGCCACTTACCATGAGGGGCTCTTTGATACTCCAGGAGGACCCTTGTCCTTCATCCCCATCTTGATTGGGAGCTGTCCTTGCAGTTCCAAGGTGTGCCACCAGGGGGCAGGCGTGCTCCTGCAGCAAAAGAACCGGACAGAAGATCAGGGCTAAAGCCTTCCAAGGGCACCTCTTGACACTATAAGCACATATTAATTTGACACAGAATACTGGGAAATGTAATTTGCTACGGGTGATGAGCTCTCCCTGTGACAAGTTCCTGGCCCCTTGGAAAACTACAATTCCAAGGGAGAGTGGCAATGAATTGGATTAATCTGTAGTGTGCTTGTAGCCCTTTTATCTATGGAGACACATGAGAAACCATTCAGGGGATAGTCTATTCAGTTGCTCTCACTAATAGCATAATCATCACCATTATTATAATATTAATATTACTAATTCTTTCACTTGTACTTATCAAATCTGTATCCTGCTTTTTGTCTGGAGCTACCAATCATGATTAATATCTAATATTGTTCCCTGTAATACTGAACTCGCGTGGCAGGTGCCAACAAAAGGGGGGGGGGGCACATGATGCCACTGAGAAACAAGGGAAAAGTATCAGCGGGCTCAGGGGAAAAGAAACCCCCCCCAAAAAACCCCCTCCAGCCCTCCAACTCCATGTGGGCTGGACATGTGCATTTAGGTATGGGATGTACCACTGGAAAAGAAAAAAATGGAAGAAATGGCCAGCCGGAACCCCAAACAGGAACATGGAGGGGAGAGCCAGAAAGACAAGACAGATGCCTTCCCTTCTTCCCAACCGCAATTTCTTCCAACCCGTTTGCATCCCTGGTTTTGCAGGCACATTACTGAACAGGATGAGGTCATCCAGATTTGTGCTCCTACTTTGATCCCTGGTTGTATGTATGGGGGGGGGGGCGTGATGGGGGCATCATGATCTCCATGCAAAATACCTGGTAGGATTTCAGGACTCCAGTCCAAGTGCAGTCAAAATTGGGGCAGGCAACTTCTGTGACCAGAGCGTCATTCTCTGCTGCTTTGTCACTGTGGAACTGAGGACAGAACAAACCATTTAAGATGCCGACCCAGGAGACGCAACCCCAGCCTGAAATGCATGCCTGTCGTTGGACACTGCCCCCTTGCACGTCATTCCCACCCCCCCCCCCAATAACTCCTAGGGCTTTGCCTCTCTTGAACCCAGGGCTCGCCAGTAGCTGCAACTAACAGAACTGAACTCCGCATTTTATTTTTATGGTCCATCCATCCATCCTTCTCTGTGTTGGAGCTAGGGCAATGTTCCTTAAACTGTTCCTTCAGTTCTTCTGGATCTCAGCTCCCATTGACCACAACCAGCATTGCCAGTGGCCAGGAATGCGAGGAGCTGAGGGCCATAATACCAGGAGTTTGCCATGCTGGGGAAGAATAAGCTAGGAGGGTGAGGCACTTACACTTTTAACAGGTATGCAAAGAGAATTTTGGCAGACACACCTTGCCATTCAGAGATGAAAAAAAAATCCCTCTTCTTCGTGGTTTAACTAGTGAAGTAACTCTAGTCTGAATTACATTCCTATGCAACCTTCTTTCTTTCTCGTTTACTTTGTTTCAAAAATGATTTTTAAAATAGTAATGGCTCCTCAGATATTAAAAATAGTGACGGTGCAACCCCCCTTTATCAAGGCTTCCCACAGGACAACCCCACAATATATTGGTAAGTAATCTTAGCTGTTACTGCAGCAGATCTCAAACACGCAGCCCCTCTGTTCAGGAGCAATGGTGTGGTTCTGATATTCCAGGACACCACCTTGCAACTCACCTGTCTGCGGCACAGCCCTGCTTTGCAAGTACGGCACAACACCTTTTCTGCATCCCTGCGGAGGGAGAAAGAGGGCGATGAGATGAATGGAATGAACATCTAGCAATGGAAATGGGCATTTTCATAGCTCTTCCACACACCCAGGTCTTCCAAGCACATGCCTCCTTCTACACTCATCCTTTAGTGGCATCCGTCATACTGATCCACTGAAGGTGAAATCCTATGCACGTTTAGACAGAAAAGGGCTTTTCTTGCACAAAATATTGTCCTTTGTCATCACAATTACCATTATTAACTGATTAATCTTCAATATGAATATTTGACCTCAAGCCTGGGCTGCTTGTGGCCACCCAGCCTGCCTCTATATATGCACCTTTAACCTCACAACAACTCTGCAAGGTAGATTTGGTTGAAAGACAATAACTGATTGCAAGCTCATGGTTTGGAGGCATCACCCTGGTCACAGTCTGCCCTGCAAGGCCATTCCAGATGGTCCTCCATCTCTCCGCCTGTTGCTACCCGTTTTCCAGGGGACAAAGGAGAGCATTCGGAGCCAGCAGTCTTCCAGGTCGGACTCCAAAGTGGATGCAGGTCACAAGACACCCCCATTCTACTAAGGGAGGGGTGTTGAACCTCATTCAACTTGAAGCCGCAACTCAGTTTCAGGGAAGATCTGGGGGGCTGCCTTCCAGTGACCGCCAGGGGCGCAAATACGAAACAGACCAACACATTTTAGCTCCAAGCTCTCACTGCCAATCACATCAACCTTAGGTAAGTTGTTTCCATCTTTCAAAATAGCAGGGAAACCTTCCGGGAAACCACAAAACCTGGACTGGGACTCCAGGGCTAGATTTCAACACCTCCAGTATCAACTGCAAACAGTTGATTAACCAGCTGCATCTTCACCGATTATCCAAATAAATTTAAGTACATGCGCCCATCTACCACAACCGCAGTATGGAAACCAAAGAAATGCATGGTAGCTTAACAATTAAAAGCTATCATTCCGAGTTAGAAGAAAAAGCATCTTTAATGTTGAGCTGGCAGCCCAACCACTAGCCAAAAGGATAAACTAGCATATCTTTAAATCGCAGCTCCTCTAGCCCGAGGAGCCCAAGCCCTGACACCCTCGGTGGGAATGGGGCACTTCTGGGGGCGGAGGGGAAGGATCTCCGAGGAGAAGCCGGGGGGCCCGCCGGGGAGCGCAGCGGGCCCACGGCCGGGTTTGCAGGAGCGAGCGCCGCCACTGACCTGAACAGCCCCTTCACGCAGCCTCTGCAGTAGCGGTGCCCGCACTCCGCCTGCTGCGGCTTGATCAGCAGGAAGCCGCAAGCCTGGCACAGCAGCCCGGCGTTGCCGAGCGGGTCCACGGGCATCACGGAGTCCCTGAGCTTTCCCATCATGCGCGCCGTCCGGAGAAGCGCCACCGAGCGAGAGAGCGCGAAGTCTGCCGGCTGAGCGCGGCGGGGGAGCTTTATGTGCTGCGCCCCGCCCCGCCCCGAGTCAGCCGAGGGCGCGAGAGGGAATCCCGCGGCTGAGTCACGCGGCCGGGCCCGCTGCGGGGCAGCCGCGCGCGCGGAGTGGCCGGGAGCCGCTGCGGGAGGCGAGGGCCGGGCGGCGAGCGCGGCGGGACCCCCGTGTTCCGGCGCACGAGAGACGGGGCAAGTCTCGGGGTCCAGTCCAGCCATACATAGGAAGGGGCTCTGACGGGTGGGTTGGATTTCTGGTTTACAAAAACGCAATCACAAAATACAGGATAAAGCGAGAGCATTGCATACATACTAAATCTCAGATAGCAACATTAGCCTTCAGTAAAAACCCCAAAATAAAACCCCCAGAGCAGCCATAAATTCAGATCAATCCGAAGGCACAGTAGCACTAAAATACAGTAAATGCCATATTAAACGTTCTCTTAACAATTACTTTAAATATTAAAATACTGGGCAAATAAAAAGGTTCTCGCCTGGTGCTGAAAGGAGTAGAGAGGGGGTGCCAGGTAAACTTCTCTGGGGAGCTGATTCCAAAGTCAGGGTGCCACCACTGAGAAGGCTCTTCCCCTTCCCTTTGCACCCTCTTGGTTTCCCCTGGAGGGTGATTTATAATAATGATAATAACAGTATTATTGGAAAGGAGAGTACTCAAAAGGCCAAACTTCGAATCTAGAAACAACAATATTATTGAGGTTGTAGAACCTAACCTACCTGCCCCCCCCCACAAGTGATAATTCAAAAACTGATGTATTGAGCACAGTCTCTTCCATCATCATCATCATCACCACCACCACCATCATCATCAATATATATTAGATAGATAAACTGGTCCTGTTTTGTTCTGTTTTTCATCTACCAGAACACTATTGTTGCTCTCCTTCCTGTGAGATTCAACGAATGATGAGGATCATAACGAAGAAATGTGCTGCCTGTTTTTCCTCATAGAATAATTTCAATAGAGAGTACAACCAATAAGACAGTAACATCATACAACTTTGATCCCCCCACCAATTCGACAGGGAGCCTTCCCCCCGCTGGTCATAAAATTCAAGCACTTTGATTAAAAGGCATCAGACTGGTGAGTTACTTCATTTTTATTACCTTTTCACTTGTTTAAGAGGTGTCATTTTGATTTTCTATTATTATTATTATTATTATTATTATTATTATTATTGCCACTGACACAAGTTAATTTTATTGCTCAGTCCAATGCTTATCTGCCTGGGGTTCTTTGTTGGCCCAGCTGTGCTCCGCAGTTGGTGCCCACACAGGAAAGCAGGGGCTGGAAGGTGAATTTTTCAAAGGACTGCATCATGTTCTGGTCCCTGCTCTGCCATGGAGCCAACTGGGTGACTTTGGGCCAGTCACAGACTCTCAGCCCAGACTACCTCACGGGGTTGCTGTTGTGGGGATAAGACTGAGAGCAAGAGGAGGAGAATGATGTATGCTACTTTGAGTTTACTGTAAGGAACAAGTGGGATATAAATCAGATAAATACCATTGCTGCAAAGATTACTTAATACACATGGAATTAAGCTGAGTGCTTCAGAAGTGTTACACGGGTAATATTTTATAGTTAGTGAAGGGTAAACATGCAAAATATTATGAGTAATTTGAAAATTCAATGATAAAATGGTCCCATGAACAAGTTGGGTGTTGCGGCAGGAATGGGCTGGAGTTCACCCTTCTGATGCTACCAACTTTCTAGCCCAGATGACCACCCCATGTGCCCCTTTCTTAAGCCAGAGTGGGCAACTTGTGACTCTCCAGATGTTGCTTGACTGCAGATCCCATCCTCCCTAGCCTTCATAGCCAATGGTGATGGATGAAGGGGATTGCAGCCAACGACATCTGGTGGATCAAAATTGCCCATCCCTGTTTGGAAGTATTAAATGAGAAATACAAAAAGTCCTTCCCCCAAAGCAGTTGCCTCCCTCTGTCTGAGATTTGGCATAGCCAGATAAGAAGCCAGAAAAAATATTTTGATACACAGATTGCCATCCTCATGGATAGTGTGATTCCAAGGGGTAAAAAATACTCATTGTGGATGGATCAGTATAAAACTTCTTCTTCTTCCTTCTCTTTTCTCCTCCTATATTTTTATTTACTTATTTTATACTGATAATTTTAATTTTATATTTGTAACTCAGTGTATTTTTTGTATTTTTGTATTTAATGGTAATTTATTATGTTCTATTGTATTTCAATGTATTTTATTGTGTTGTTTTGGCAAGGGGCGGCATAGAAATGTTATAATACTACTACTACTACTACTACTACTACTACTAATAATAATAATAATGGAGTCTTTTTCTCTTATAATGTCTTGGCTAAAATGAGAGATGGGGAGTGGGCAGGGAGGACCAGGTTCCAGTCCTGGTTCTGCCCTGCAGCTCGCTGGGTGACCTTGGGCCATGCACTTTCTGGCAGGTTCACTCACCTCACAGCATTGTGGGGGATAAAAGCAGGGGAACACGTACACCATCCTTACCTCCTTGGAAAAAGGACTGGATGTCCATGTAAGAAATTCATCTAAAACACTTTCCCATGCCTGCTTAAATAGGAAAAAAAAGTTATCCAACCCCCAGCATCCATACAAAAGATTTCAGCCTAAAATCTTATTTTTTCCTCCATGGGCAGGTTTTCCTTTCCTTTCCTTTCCTTTCCTTTCCTTTCCTTTCCTTTCCTTTCCTTTCCACCACAACTCAATTAAACTTGAATAGGTCCTCAAGAAAACCAGATAAAGTTACTTTAGGGCATACATATTCATTCCATCATGATATGTATGAGAGCGATGATTCATGCCAGTTGAATGGTTAAAAATTGCTTTCTTATCATTCTTTTTACTAATTTCATTTCTGTGCTGACAATGCTTAAGGTTATCTGGGTAGTTCACAGGAATTTTACAGATTCATGGAACAGCTGGGTCAGAGGGGACCATCCAGGAAGGCCATCCAGTCCAACCCCCTGCTAGTGCAGGACGCCAGTTATACCATCCTGCTCAGATAACTGTCCAATTGCTTCTTGAATGTGTCTAGTAGCCATCTGTCAGGAATTCTTTAACGAGTCCTACATTGATCAGGGAGTTGGAGTCAGTGGTCTTCTGTGCCCCTCCAAACTTTACTAATGGATGTGTCTATGATTGTAATAATGAAATACATTATAAATTACAGATAAACTGCAGCATAAAATTATGTAGTTATTTCTTTTGAGTTCTTTAGTATTTCCAGTCTAAGTTTTTATTGTTTTGTTATGGTAGATATTTTAAATTTGTTTTATTGTTGTATATTTATTCTATATACAACATGTATTTGGAATTTATTGTAAAATGTATTTGGAATTCCAGTGTATTTGGAAACGTTGGGGATTACATGAGCAGAGCTGGCTGGAGCCAGGCGTCAGACTAGATGACCTAGGAGGTCCCTTCTGACTCACTTTGTTTCTATGTTTCTATTTGTTTTTATTGTCGGAAATGTAAACTGCCCAGAGAGCCCTATGGGCCACTGGTGCAGTATAGAAGTAGAATAGTAATAATAATATAATAAAGATATCGTAAAATGCAGCATAAAATTTCAATATGCAGCCAGTCTTCCTACCATTTCAAGTTTAAGAGAGATGACTCACGCCAATTAAATTACTTAACAGTTGCATATTCGTCATCAAGCTTCACATCACCAGAAATATCAAACAAAGATCCCCGCTCCCCCCCCCCCCGCTCCTCTGCAGACACATACAATGGCATTTGCGTAATCAACTCCCTCATTCGGCTGTTCTGCTTCCCTAGGGGAAGCAATCCATTTCCCCCTATATAAAATACAAAGTGTTGGGAAAACACAACATTCCTGCAACAAAAATACTGTCATATAACCTTAAGGGGAACATGAATGGGCAAGCCCGTGAGATGAATGAGTAACAGAGTAACATGCACATCCAATGCCCGGGGAGAGGGGAACCTGGAAAGGCCCTGACGGAGTACCTCTGAGCACTCATGAATGAATGACTGGAAGTCAGATGCAAAGGGCAAGGGGACCCAGTTCATGGCAACACCCAGTAATTGGCTGGGGAATCCCAGGAAGGGCTGGAATGGTTGAGCTGATGGATAAGGGCATTGCAAAAATACAATAGAAGAGTCCGTGCTTCCAGGACTAAGGATGTGCGAGGCAAGGCATATTAAGGCAGAAACCCCTAAATTCACACAAACAGGGCAGGGTCTGAAGCATTTGTGGCTACCAGAAAAAAGATTTGTGGACAGAGTTGGGAAGATGCTTTTGAGCTGGAAATAGGTCGCTGTGGAAAAGGTTAAAAAGGGAACTCAAGCACTTGGAAGTTTTTGTTTCCTTTCTTAAGAGGGAGATTGAGAGAAGATATTACTGAACTTGTAACTTGGCAAGATTGACTGTGCAGTATCAGTGAGGTGGGGGGGCAAACTCAGGGTTAGGGAATTAATAAGAAAAGGAGTGATTATGTTTGTTTATTAGTGATCTTTGTGTACAAGTTAAGTGAGGAAGGACCCTATTTTATTTTATTATTTTATTTTATTTAAATCTTTTCTATATATTTCTGTCTTATATTTTTTTAAAAAAATCTTGAGATGGTATGCAAAGAAGTAAGCACATTAAAACCAAGCAAACATTTGCCATAATAAAATAGCCAATGTTACACGGCCCTATGTAGACCTGGAGTGTTACTGCAATTGTTTTATTTCTATTTCTTTTTTCATCTCTCCTACATCCAATAACTTTTGGTGCCATTCTGTTGGCTGAGAAATCCTGGGAGTTGTACGACTTTTTCTGTTGAAATGTCAGAACATAAGAAAAGCCACACTAGCATCCACTCCCACATCCTGTTTGCCTGGGGACAGATCAGCTGCTGGCAGGATCCCTCATCAGGATGAGCCTGAGGGTAAATGCCGTGGCTTTTTGG